AACCTCAGAGTACTGGGTCTGAGGTCTGGTGTTAAACTGGGATTAAGCTCAGACTACTGGGTCTGAGGTCTGGTGTTAAACTGGGATTAACCTCAGACTACTGGGTCTGAGATCTGGTGTTAGACTGGGATTAACCTCAGAGTACTGGGTCTGAGGTCAGGTGTTAAAATGGGATTAACCTCAGACTACTGGGTCTGAGGTCTGGTGTTAACCTGGGATTAACCTCAGACTACTGGGTCTGAGGTCTGGTGTTAACCTGGGATTAACCTCAGAGTACTGGGTCTGAGGTCTGGTGTTAACCTGGGATTAACCTCAGACTACTGGGTCTGAGGTCTGGTGTTAATCTGGGATTAACCTCAGAGTACTGGGTCTGAGGTCAGGTGTTAAAATGGGATTAACCTCAGACTACTGGGTCTGAGGTCTGGTGTCAACCTGGGATTAACCTCAGAGTACTGGGTCTGAGGTCTGGTGTTAAACTGGGATTAAGCTCAGACTACTGGGTCTGAGGTCTGGTGTTAAACTGGGATTAACCTCAGACTACTGGGTCTGAGGTCTGGTGTTAGACTGGGATTAACCTCAGACTACTGGGTCTGAGGTCTGGTGTTAACCTGGGATTAACCTCAGACTACTGGGTCTGAGGTCTGGTGTTAGCCTGGGATTAACCTCAGACTACTGGGTCTGAGGTCTGGTGTTAAAATTGGATTAACCTCAGACTACTGGGTCTGAGGTCTGGTGTTAACCTGGGATTAACCTCAGAGTACTGGGTCTGAGGTCTGGTGTTAACCTGGGATTAAGCTCAGACTACTGGGTCTGAGGTCTGGTGTTAAAGTGGGATTAACCTCAGACTACTGGGTCTGAGGTCTGGTGTTAGACTGGGATTAACCTCAGACTACTGGGTCTGAGGTCTGGTGTTAACCTGGGATTAACCTCAGACTACTGGGTCTGAGGTCTGGTGTTAACCTGGGATTAACCTCAGACTACTGGGTCTGAGGTCTGGTGTTAGACTGGGATTAACCTCAGACTACTGGGTCTGAGGTCAGGTGTTAAAATGGGATTAACCTCAGACTATTGGGTCTGAGGTCTGGTGTTAACCTGGGATTAACCTCAGCCTACTGGGTCTGAGGTCTGGTGTTAACCTGGGATTAACCTCAGAGTACTGGGTCTGAGGTCTGGTGTTAACCTGGGATTAACCTCAGAGTACTGGGTCTGAGGTCAGGTGTTAAAATGGGATTAACCTCCGACTACTGGGTCTGAGGTCTGGTGTTAACCTGGGATTAACCTCAGAGTACTGGGTCTGAGGTCTGGTGTTAACCTGGGATTAATCTCAGACTACTGGGTCTGAGGTCTGGTGTTAACCTGGGATTAACCTCAGACTACTGGGTCTGAGGTCTGGTGTTAACCTGGGATTAACCTCAGAGTACTGGGTCTGAGGTCAGGTGTTAAACTGGGATTAACCTCAGACTACTGGGTCTGAGGTCAGGTGTTAAAATGGGATTAACCTCAGACTACTGGGTCTGAGGTCTGGTGTTTGACTGGGATTAACCTCAGAGTACTGGGTCTGAGGTCAGGTGTTAAAATGGGATTAACCTCAGACTACTGGGTCTGAGGTCAGGTGTTAACCTGGGATTAACCTCAGACTACTGGGTCTGAGGTCTGGTGTTAACCTGGGATTAACCTCAGACTACTGGGTCTGAGGTCTGGTGTTAACCTGGGATTAACCTCAGAGTACTGGGTCTGAGGTCAGGTGTTAAACTGGGATTAACCTCAGACTACTGGGTCTGAGGTCAGGTGTTAAAATGGGATTAACCTCAGACTACTGGGTCTGAGGTCTGGTGTTAGACTGGGATTAACCTCAGACTACTGGGTCTGAGGTCAGGTGTTAAAATGGGATTAACCTCAGAGTACTGGGTCTGAGGTCTGGTGTTAACCTGGGATTAACGTCAGAGTACTGGGTCTGAGGTCTGGTGTTAACCTGGGATTAACCTCAGACTACTGGGTCTGAGGTCTGGTGTTAAACTGGGATTAACCTCAGAGTACTGGGTCTGAGGTCAGGTGTTAAACTGGGATTAAGCTCAGACTACTGGGTCTGAGGTCTGGTGTTAAAGTGGGATTAACCTCAGACTACTGGGTCTGAGGTCTGGTGTTAGACTGGGATTAACCTCAGACTACTGGGTCTGAGGTCTGGTGTTAACCTGGGATTAACCTCAGACTACTGGGTCTGAGGTCTGGTGTTAACCTGGGATTAACCTCAGACTACTGGGTCTGAGGTCTGATGTTAACCTGGGATTAACCTCAGAGTACTGGGTCTGAGGTCTGGTGTTAACCTGGGATTAACCTCAGAGTACTGGGTCTGAGGTCTGGTGTTAAACTGGGATTAACCTCAGACTACTGGGTCTGAGGTCAGGTGTTAAACTGGGATTAACCTCAGACTACTGGGTCTGAGGTCTGGTGTTAGACTGGGATTAACCTCAGAGTACTGGGTCTGAGGTCAGGTGTTAAACTGGGATTAACCTCAGACTACTGGGTCTGAGGTCAGGTGTTAAAATGGGATTAACCTCAGACTACTGGGTCTGAGGTCTGGTGTTAGACTGGGATTAACCTCAGAGTACTGGGTCTGAGGTCAGGTGTTAAAATGGGATTAACCTCAGACTACTGGGTCTGAGGTCAGGTGTTAACCTGGGATTAACCTCAGACTACTGGGTCTGAGGTCTGGTGTTAACCTGGGATTAACCTCAGACTACTGGGTCTGAGGTCTGGTGTTAACCTGGGATTAACCTCAGAGTACTGGGTCTGAGGTCAGGTGTTAAACTGGGATTAACCTCAGACTACTGGGTCTGAGGTCAGGTGTTAAAATGGGATTAACCTCAGACTACTGGGTCTGAGGTCTGGTGTTAGACTGGGATTAACCTCAGAGTACTGGGTCTGAGGTCAGGTGTTAAAATGGGATTAACCTCAGAGTACTGGGTCTGAGGTCTGGTGTTAACCTGGGATTAACCTCAGAGTACTGGGTCTGAGGTCTGGTGTTAAACTGGGATTAAGCTCAGACTACTGGGTCTGAGGTCTGGTGTTAAACTGGGATTAACCTCAGACTACTGGGTCTGAGATCTGGTGTTAGACTGGGATTAACCTCAGAGTACTGGGTCTGAGGTCAGGTGTTAAAATGGGATTAACCTCAGACTACTGGGTCTGAGGTCTGGTGTTAACCTGGGATTAACCTCAGACTACTGGGTCTGAGGTCTGGTGTTAACCTGGGATTAACCTCAGAGTACTGGGTCTGAGGTCTGGTGTTAACCTGGGATTAACCTCAGACTACTGGGTCTGAGGTCTGGTGTTAATCTGGGATTAACCTCAGAGTACTGGGTCTGAGGTCAGGTGTTAAAATGGGATTAACCTCAGACTACTGGGTCTGAGGTCTGGTGTCAACCTGGGATTAACCTCAGAGTACTGGGTCTGAGGTCTGGTGTTAAACTGGGATTAAGCTCAGACTACTGGGTCTGAGGTCTGGTGTTAAACTGGGATTAACCTCAGACTACTGGGTCTGAGGTCTGGTGTTAGACTGGGATTAACCTCAGACTACTGGGTCTGAGGTCTGGTGTTAACCTGGGATTAACCTCAGACTACTGGGTCTGAGGTCTGGTGTTAACCTGGGATTAACCTCAGAGTACTGGGTCTGAGGTCAGGTGTTAAAATGGGATTAACCTCAGACTATTGGGTCTGAGGTCTGGTGTTAACCTGGGATTAACCTCAGCCTACTGGGTCTGAGGTCTGGTGTTAACCTGGGATTAACCTCAGAGTACTGGGTCTGAGGTCTGGTGTTAACCTGGGATTAACCTCAGAGTACTGGGTCTGAGGTCTGGTGTTAATCTGGGATTAACCTCAGAGTACTGGGTCTGAGGTCTGGTGTTAAACTGGAATTAACCTCAGACTACTGGGTCTGAGGTCTGGTGTTAACCTGGGATTAACCTCAGAGTACTGGGTCTGAGGTCTGGTGTTAACCTGGGGTTAACCTCAGAGTACTGGGTCTGAGGTCTGGTGTTAAAATGGGATTAACCTCAGAGTACTGGGTCTGAGGTCTGGTGTTAAACTGGGATTAACATCAGACTACTGGGTCTGAGGTCTGGTGTTAAACTGGGATTAACGTCAGACTACTGGGTCTGAGTTCTGGTGTTAAACTGGGATTAACGTCAGACTACTGGGTCTGAGTTCTGGTGTTAAACTGGGATTAACCTCAGAGTACTGGGTCTGAGGTCTGGTGTTAAACTGGGATTAACCTCAGACTACTGGGTCTGAGGTCTGGTGTTAACCTGGGATTAACCTCAAAGTGCTGGGTCTGAGGTCAGGTGTTAACCTGGGATTAACCTCAGAGTGCTGGGTCTGAGGTCAGGTGTTAAAATGGGATTAACCTCCGACTACTGGGTCTGAGGTCTGGTGTTAACCTGGGATTAACCTCAAAGTGCTGGGTCTGAGGTCTGGTGTTAAACTGGGATTAACCTCAGACTACTGGGTCTGAGGTCTGGTGTTAAACTGGGATTAACCTCAGACTACTGGGTCTGAGGTCTGGTGTTAAAATGGGATTAACCTCAGACTACTGGGTCTTAGGTCTGGTGTTAAACTGGGATTAACCTCAGAGTACTGGGTCTGAGGTCTGGTGTTAATCTGGGATTAACCTCAGAGTACTGGGTCTGAGGTCTGGTGTTAATCTGGGATTAACCTCAGAGTACTGGGTCTGAGGTCTGGTGTTAAACTGGGATTAACCTCAGAGTACTGGGTTTAAGTACACAACAGTTCTTAGACCCAGGTCTTCTGCGCAACCTGAAGGACAGCTGGTAGGTTAGTCCTGGTTAGGCCATGAGAGGCAGTAAGGTTAGCTCAATGCTCTGTATGGAATCACTCGGACCTACCAACAACCACAGAAAGTCACTCGTCCAACAGACCTGTCGTCCCTTCAGAAATCCGAGTCAAGCTAAACCCCACAGGTGTGCCCTGGCTTCTCCTCTTACCTGCGCGTCAGCTTAGAGGTGAGTTTGCTGAGCAGGTTGGTCGTGGCCCGAGTCCTGACGTGAGGCAGCGGGCTGGCATCGTGGGACGGTGTGGATGATGCATGGGGGGTGTGGGAGGGGGGGCGGCGGTCTCTGATCTGGCCTCCGTGAAAAGTGCTCCTCACCGTGGATCCTCTGGAGAGACGGGATGAAGGTGTGGACGATGAGGAGGAGGTACCGGATGCTGCAGCGATGCTGTGGGAAGAGGGGGAGGCAGGGGGCAGGCGGTGGGACAGGGTACTGGGGGAGGGGTGAGGGGGAAATAATTCAATATTTAATCAAACGTCTGCTTCCTGGAGCAAGCTGAGCTAAAAACCACACGATAATGTCAGAAATGAGTCCCGCTTGTTGAGCAGACACATAGAAACAAGTGATGCTGATAATCCCAAGTATTTACCGTAGGTAAACTGGGATTACCCGCCTCCTATAAAAACCAAACACACATCAGAAACCCGCATTGACCTGAGAATCGTCGGTTTGTTGGTGGGACTGGGACTGCACTCCTTAAGCCTGGGGTGGTCCCAGTAAGGATGTGAGAAATAAACCAGGAGAGTGGTCCAAATGAACGTAAACATGGAGTACGGACCGTCTTCACGGGGCGATGCCAGTGCTAATGACACGGATGCAGTTATGGTTTCAAGCACCTTCAAAGAAACAAAACCATCTTTTATTTAGAGCCTCTCAAGTGAAAAATGACCAGGAGCTTCATTTTAATTTCAGATATAAAAAGGGTTTAAAATATAATTAAAAAAAAACGTGATTAAAAATGTAAGGAAAGGAAAAGAAGGATCCCTTCAGGTTCTGATTAATCTGTTTCATTCAGTAATGTCCACGGCATTCCTTTCCTTTCCTTAACACGTTACGCTTTGTCACATTGCCCCCCCCCCCCGTGGAGGACCGGTGGCCTAAGGCTGCTTTCCATCACGCTCTAGATAACACCCACACAGGGTTCAAGTGGGGCAGACCCAGTGGATGAGTTAGGTAGAAAAGCAGCCGCTGCAGAGCAAAATCGTTCAACGTCAATGTTAGCTGCTGCCTGCAGGGTGGGGGTGGAGTAGAGATATAAATACAAACAAAAAACTAATAAAATTATTCTCTCGTTTTTGTCTAAGAACCTCCACCAATAACACGAGTCAGACCAGAACCACCCATCGGACCAGACGGTTGTCGGTCTGACTTGCCCTGAAAAGCAAAGGAAAAAATGTGTTTTTGGTTGTAAATTTTTTAAAGTGGGAGTCAAGGCATGGGTGGAGACTTATGCCATCCACGCTCCTGAAGGAGGCGTGGCCTGGCGGACTGAGACAGCGATAGATGGCACCATAAATATATATATATTCATATCTCCATGACCAGCAGTCAGTCAACCTCCTTTTTAATGGGTTTAATGTCTACTTTGTGACCTAAAAACACCTCAAAACATCTTTTAGAGCCAAGAATTATGATAAAATGAACAACTTCTTAATATCTGAACTGGTTTTCACTGTAACACATCCTAGTGGACAGAAAGAGTATTACAAAAATACAAACTGAAAACATTTACAAACAAAAAACCCACATTTTTTCCTTGCCTTTCAGGGCTGTGAGAGTATAATAAATAATAAAAAACTTTGGTTTTCTTTATCTCTCTGAGCTGAGAAAGATTTTTTTAATGTCACAAGAAAATATTTCCCCCCTTGCCCTTCAGAGCTTCCGTAGTTCTCCACTCAATAACATCAGAGAAGGAGAAACAGCCGGCTGCTACCACTTCAACTTCAGGAAAACCAGAGTCCCAAGAAGAAAAGCACCGTTTGAAGTCACGGACAACGACAGATGTTTGGACCTAGAAAATGGAGAACGGTGTTCACCATCATCTCGTTTCCTCTGGGACCGATGGTTCTGGCGTCAGATGGGCGTGGCCTAAGGATGATAGCTGACGGGTGTGTGACCGTGTTTGTATTTAAAAGCTAGCTTGTTTCGTAGATTTGCTAAAACAAAAATAAAATATCAACAAATGAGCGCTTTGCCTGTCAGGTTCTTACGTTACTGGTTTGATCATAAGTTAGTCTGTCTGTAGACAAGTGTGTGTGTGTGTGTGTGTGTGCATGTGTGTGTGCACGCGCGTGTACGTGTGTGTGTGTGCATGCGTGTGTGCGTGCATGTGTGTGTGCATGCGTGTGTGCATGCGTGTGTGTGTGTGTGTGTGCGTGCAAGTGTGTGCGTGCGCGTGTGTGTGTGTGCGCGCGGGTGCGTGTGTGCGTGCGTGTGTGCGTGTCATCTTTAGAGCAGTAAATTCTCTCGCAGCAGCATCTGACTGTTTAAGAATGTCACCCTGCTTCATCCTTACAGCTTCCTGCTGGTGAAATCCTTCCACATGTCGTCTGTGAAGGTTCTCAGTCATCCACGTCATTGTAGTCTAATGAGCTTTGAAAGAAAACCGTCTGGACTTCTTTGAGTTGCTTGAAGAGGTGAAACTTCTTCAAGCAACTCAAAGAAGTCCAGACAGTTTTCTTTGAAAGCTCATTAGGCCTTCCACATGTCGTCATTCATGCTTTTATTATTCATGTAAGAAACCCGCCTTCTCACGTTAACCCCGTCTGCTCAGAAACCAGCCGCTGAGGTAAGAGGACCGATTCTGGTCCGGTCCAGAGACTAAGCTCACAGCGTGACAGACGACACGAGTCCAGCCAGGATGACAGAGGGGTCCTCCTCGTGCACAACTGCTCCATTAAAGAGGCTCAGACTCTTGAATAAAACCGGTTCCACTGGTCGAACCGGACTTTCTGTACTGATGTTGGATAAATCCTTTCTAGAGTAAACGCAGCTGAAGTGTTGTGATTCATGACTCGTGGTAGAGACAGCTGAGCACCGGTGGTGAAACTCCTGCTGAGGCGTCACTTCTACACCTGGTCTCATCTGTTTGCACTTGCCACGTGTAAAGAACTGTTCCGTTAGTAGAAAATAAAACGTATCATTTTTCTTTCATTAGAAACCATTTCCGTGTGATGTCACAGGTTAATCTGGTCCTGTGAGGGGATTTGAGCCCCGCCCTCTTGGTTTACAATGAAGAAAGGTAAAACGCCATCCTACCGGTTTTCTTTGCCGTTTTGCAGCAGGGCGGGTCCGTCGGTGTTGGATCGGTCCGTGCACACATACGTGTTGCGTCGGGTCATGGCACTGGCAGGGATGTTATTCTATGGGAAAAAATCACAGACTCAGAATCTAACTTAATCTACTGGATTACACGGAGCTCCAGATCAAACAGCCTCTACCTGCATCACATGTACAGCTAATCTTAATCTGACATCCAGGACACGCACATCTGTCCCTCCGCCTCTCACATGTCCAAACAGCTGTCCCTTGTCTGATGGGTCATGACCTCAGGTGAACTGTGCTGCAGATTTGGGATTGGAGGTGAACCGGTCTCTGGATTTCTGAAAGACCTGAAGTCCTTCTCAGTTCCTCAGGAACTCCCGACATTCCCGTTTTTCTTTTCTTCTACGTTGGATTGAGTTCTCAGAATAATAAACTCTGCAGTTCATCTATTCTTATTTCAGCTCATAATGCATGCAAGTAGGATACAACATAATCTGTGTAAGAAGAATGTGTGCTGTAATCTGAGATGATTAGATTAGGCAGATTCAGAGGTGCCGTCTGCACCTGTAGCATCAAAAAGTCTCATTTGTTAAACCTGACGTCTCACCGTCGCTGAGGTCACTTCCTTGCGCCGGTCGGGTATCTCCGCTTTGTTTGGGTTGTGGGCGGAGCTAACCATGGGACTGGAGGGGGTGGGGATGCTGCGGGAGCCCACGGTGCTAGTGCTTGGCTTGCGCATCGACAGTCGCTCTTCTTTAAGGCCAGCTCCCTCTGCCACACCGCTGGGACTCCTTTTGGGGTGCGCTGATCCTGGAGCAGCAGGACCACCTACACACAGTCTCAGCATTAAACTGCTGCCAACAGAACCCGTCATGAAGCACCACTTATCTCAGAAGGCCTACAGAAGTCCGAGTGACGTCTCTGGCGGTGGTAGGTGGAGGCGCTGCGCTGGGGCTTATGGCCAGAGGAGGAAGAGGAAGTGGAGTGCTTGCTTGTTCCATTAGAAATGGTGCTTTGGCGAACTCGAGCTAGACTCAGGCTGCTGCCCGACCGAGACTCCGAGACCTCCGTCTGAAAGGGGATGATAAATAACATGAGCATCCGCGCTGAGCCGGAGGGTCTGGGGTCACCTCCATCAGGGTCCTGACAGAGATGCACCGCCTCTCTGACCCGCCAACACTAACGCTGCTTTCTCCATAGAAACACCTTTATTTGTATATTTTAATTTCCAACCACCTTGGAAATGCAGGAGTTAAAAGCTCCCACACACAAGGTTAGAATGTGGTGAGTTACTGAAGACCAGATTTCTAGTGTGGTGCGTTCACTGACCAGGAAGAGTCTTTGACGAGCTGATGACCGGTTTATAGTCTGTATCTTTTAAGTCCCAGAGTCATCATCACACGCCGGTGAAATTCATCTCTGCATCTGACCCACCCCTGTGGGGGGGCGGGCGGATATCAAGCATCTCATCACCCCCCGACACACACACACCTCATTCTTGCGTCCCAGCAGCAGGTAAGTGGCCGTGACCTCGTTGTACTTGTGACTGAGCAGCGAATCCCGGATCTCTTCTCTGCCAAATCCCATCCCAACCATCACATCTGGGGGAAGAGTTACTGACATGTAAGTGACCCATATGACCAATCATGAAGCGCCCACCCAGTCCCGCCTTCAGTGACATTTCTGTGGCGGTCTGAGGGGCGTGGCTGTAGAAACGCGTCTCACCGATGCGGCTGGTATCACTGAAGTCCTCCTGAGGCTCCGCGTGGGGCCTCAGCTCGTCGCCGTCGTAACCGACGTTAATCCACTTATCGTTCATTATTTGCTGACGGGAAACAAACAGAAATCATAAAAATGGTGAAAAAACATGAAAGATGTGGAATATTTGCTTTAAAATCAAGTCCAACAATTTGTTACTAAACTTCTTCTCCTTTAACCCTCCGGGGTCCACGGACGCGTACCCGCGTCTTCAGATCAGGTCTGATTTGGGACGCTGTAGCAGCAAGACTCCGCCTCCCTTAGTTTCGGTTTGAATTCAGCTTTAAAAAGGAGATTATGAACTACACCCCAGTTTTTACATTATGTTAATGGGCAACGTAAAAGCCGAGTTATACTAAACTAAAAAAACCACCTATTTTTAGACCATCTGACAAAACAGCAGTTTAGTAATCCGTGAGAGGGAACGTGCTTGTGAACATAAAAACCCACAAAAACGTGAGATCCTGTTGCTGTTGGTGGAAGTCTCACATATTCAGCTGATAAAAAGCATCATTATGTAGCTGAAAGAGAGAGGAAGGCTGCACGAGTAACCAGATGTGCGCAAAAAGGAGCCGCTTCGCGGGGAAGGAGTGGTGCGAGCGGAGTAACAACAAACAATTAGACAGATGTTGACGGTAAACTTCATATTTTGGAGCGATGTGGACAGATATATGGTCTCTGCAGTTTAGGAGGCTGTTATTAGGCTTATATAAAGGATGATGAGAAGGATAAATGTCCACCAGGCAGGTCAGATAGTACGGCTGTTTTTTGAACTGGAATCAGAGGAAGTGGGCGGAGTCTCACAGCCGGAGTCTGAGGCAAACAGCGAGGATGTTGATGATGATGTGGCAGATCCATCCTTCCTCAGACGAGTTGGGTCATGATGAGCCACTCCCCACTCCAAAATGCATGTACATTACTGCCAAATTACTAAAATAAGTATAAATTCAGATAGTCCAGGTTGTCCTGAAAAAAATGATACCCCATAAGGCAAAATTTATTGTTTTTATTAGAAAATACAAAAGAAAAACCAAAATGAGTCAAAAACGGTGATTTACAGCCTGGACCCCAGAGGGCTAATGATGTTTTTAAAAACATTGTTATTTGCTATATTTATTCATATTTTTTATAAATGTAGTCTAGATTACCATTCTACATTTAAAAAAACATTTGTCATAAATGTTTGTTGGTTTCACAGTAAAATAAACAACTTTTTTCCAATTCGGATTTTATGTTTTTGAGTGATTTAAGGTCTAATATGCAACCCCTTTATGTCCAAATATAAAAAATAAGTATAAATTCATAAAGTCCAGGTTGTGCTGAAAAGATTGATGCCACATAAGGGCGTGGTTATGGTTTTTATTTTGGAAAAACAAAGGAAAACTCTAAATTAGTCAAAAACGGCAAATTACACCCTGGACTCCAGAGGGTTAATTCACTCCTATTTTTGCTTTAATCGCACAAAACTGTTTAAATCACATCAAATAATAACTATTATAATTACTGTTACAGGCCAACCAGATGAGTGACAGGAAGTCAGCTATAAACGTACGCTCGTGTCAGAGGGAGCGTTAAACGTACCTCCAGCGAACAGCGCTTAGCGGGGTTCAGGACCAGGAAGCGGCGCAGGATTCCCTCACAGTCCGTAGACATGTAGAAGGGAACGCGGTACTTCCCCCGTAAGACTCGCTCACGCAGCTCCTACGGAAAACAAAAGCAACCATACAGAATGACATGAATGACCCACACTTGCTGGTCATCCAGGTCATGGTCATGCAAAAGGGTTCCAACGAAAGCAACGGCACTTCTTGGGTTTCGCTTTCCATCAGAGGAGCTTCGTCAGCTCTGACTGGAAGATAGAGTCAAGCCTATAAGCTGTAGCTGTCTATTGCTGTTTAACGAGCAGAAACTACTCTGAATACCCCTCCTCTCAGAACGCTGTTGTGGGCATCCTCCCTGTTGAACTTGATGTTCTTGTCCACAGTAAATGTCACCAACATTTCCATGGAGGAAGTGGAAACTAGAGCTTTGAACAACACCGAGCCACTGGTTCAGGTACGTGGACGACACACGGGTCAGACTTCTCACAAAGGAAGTAGAAGACTTTACTGAGCACCTTAATGCCGTGGACCAGAACATCAAGTTCACCAGGGAGGATGCACACAACCACCAGCCCTTCTTGGACTGTGCTGTGCAAACTGAACAAAATGGAAGTCTCAGCATTGAAGTCTACAGGAAACCAGCTGACACCGACCAGTATCTGCATCTGGACTCACATCAGCCACTGGAGTGTCAGTCACCTGGGCCCTCACACTAAGGATGGACGGTACATCGGCATCAATATCGGTTCGATATATAAAACCGGGCCGATATTAACAACAATAGTCATGTGATCAGTGAATGAAATTGTCTCAGAACCGTAAATGTTGTGTGTAAATAATAATTTTATACTAAATCGGCTGATTTAGTACATCGGTATCGGCCATAACGGTGAGCTTAATATGGGACATTGCATTTACATACAGAAACGCCCTCAATTAACCATATTTGGTCATGCTACGTCCTCAGCATATAAGGGAATTCCCAAATTTTTTTAACGCAAAAAAATAAGAAAAACTCTGACGACGAGATCGAGACACTGGTTGCAGAAGCCCCCCCCCGCCTCTCAGCCTTTGAGTAACCAGACGCACGCGGCTCAGTGCTGAGGGGTTCTCGTAGATGTAAAGTAAAATCTGAACTGGAATCGGATTCGGGAGGCTTGTCTGTTGCTCCACAAAGGGACCCAATCACAGCACAGCAGAAGGGTTTCCTTTGAGATCAGAGCGCTCACGGAGAACACGTTCCCTCCAGAGAGAACGTTCTGGTAAATCCTCCAATAACAGATCAGCCATGAAAGTATAACATCAGAGTCCCGTCGGTCACGTGTCTTTTCTTGGTTTTGGCACCAGTTAGGAGCCGTTTTTCCACCGACACACTGGGTCCTGGGACCTTCAGTACTGCAGTTCCCCCGTTCTACCACTAGATGCTGTTCCTACGCATGGTCACAGCTGTTCTTGTACTTAGGAACCTTTTCACACACTAACTGGTAAATACCACACAATGCGTAAACTAGTTCCCACACACAAATACGCACAGATCTGTTCCTAAGGACAGTTGATGAATGAGGGCCAGGACTTTACACCATCGGGCTGAGAACGTTCCCGCAAAGACTGGAGACAGGGTTAGGGTTAGAAACACATGGAGAAAGTTCTCCAGAACTGCAGATAACTGGGCCTTGGTGAAAACAAAGAAGTCTGGAAAAGCATCCAAAGCAGCAACCAGCAGAGAAAAGGACAACCACCATCCCACACGTGGCAGGAGTCCCAGAGACACCTAGAAGAATCTTCTCCAAACACGACATCCCAGTAAACTTTAACCCAACAACACCCTCAGACAGAACCTGGTCCATCCAGAACCCAAACAGAAGCTCGGTGGTGTGGTTTATGCAGTCCAGTGTAGCGAGGACTGTCCAGATGTTTCCATCGGGGAAACTAAACAACAACTACACACGAGCATGGCACGACACAGGAGAGCCACCTCTTCAGGTCAGGACTCTGCGGTCCACCTGCACCTGAAGCACAAGGACACATGCTGGACAGAGAAGAGAGATGCAGAGAGAGAGAGGAGTCAAAGAAGCTATCTATGTCAAATAAGAAAAACCCACTTAAATAGGGGCGGGGCTTAGATTTCACCTTCCTAGTACCTATAATGCAGCTTGGATGTCATTCCTAAGCAGCTTCAGTCTAGCTCACACCTTCCTGTGTCTAATGCTAATGACTCATCAGGGGATGGAGAGGAGGGGTATTCAGAGTAGTTTCCGCTGGTTTAATAACAACAGACAGCTGCAGCTTATAAGCGCGACTCTCCCATATTCCAGTCAGGATTGACAAAGCTCCTCGGATGAGAAGAAAGAAACCAAAGAAGTCCAGAGGAGTCCACTCTACCCACCTTCAAGTTCTGTCCGTCGAACGGCAGCGACCCGCTGACCAGCGTGTACAGGATGACTCCCAAGCTCCAGATATCCACCTCTGGACCATCGTACTTCTTCCCCTGGAAGAGCTCCGGGGCAGCGTACGGAGGAGAGCCGCAGAAGGTGTCCAGCTTACTTCCTTCGGTGAACTCGTTACTAAAGCCGAAGTCAGCGATTTTGATGTTTGAGTCGGCGTCTAGCAGCAGGTTCTCCGCCTGCAGGGCAAAACAGGGTCCAGATATAAAACGGGAAGGATGTAGCACATCAAGCTTTGTATTCATTTAACTTCCCTGTTGTCACCAACAACTGACCTTCAAGTCTCTGTGAACAATATTCTTCTGATGGCAGTAATTCACCGCCGAGACGATCTGAGGAGGACAAAAACAAAAGATGCACTTCAGTACAGCCCAGTTCAGACAAAAGCCTGCGCTGGACGACCTCGCCACCCTTCACAAGTTCAACGCTTGCTGTTGTTTTATTTATGTGGCTGCAGCAGAAAGTCAAACATTAAAACAATAAATCATAATCAGGAGGCGAGGAGTTCGGGTGTCCCCTGCAGGTGTGAGTTTCACCCACCTGTCTGAATTTGGCTCTGGCTTCTTTCTCTTTCATCCTACCGTGAGCCACGAGGTAGTCAAACACTTCCCCTGCAGAAGCAAAACAAAAGGTCCAGAAAACGTGTTTCAGACGGGCAGAAAAAACGTCTTTTTTACCAAACATCAGTCTTCCTAAAACAATAAAGCAAGGGGTCGATGTGGGGCTGGGCCATACGGCCTGAAATCAGCAGCACCATATCCGGAGGATTTCACCGCGATAACGATAAATGGACGATAACTACGGGTAAGTGCAGAAACAACAGCTGTCCACTAGGTGGAGCTGTCACGTGTGTCGCGTCGTGCAGCTTCATTACCCACACACATCTTTTATTACCATATTTACTGACACGGGAACAATGATCTCGTAAGAGTCAGAAATAACGATAAATCTCAAATTTATTACCCAGCCCTAGGTCGACGTTAGCATCTCTCCTGCAGATGTTAGGATTTAATTAGCTTTGCTCTAGAAAAGGACAAAAGTTTCTACTATTTTCAGATTTTATTAAAGACGTAGTGTTACCATCAAATTCAGTCACGTCCACAAACTCGTCCGTTTGCGTTAACGGTCACCCTAGTCCCGCCAGAGTCTATTCTAAATACTCGCATCAGCTTGGAACGTAACGTTTTTATAAACATAAACTGTAGTTGACGCTCATGTGCCACCATGAAATCCTGTAGCTGTTTAGGGACATACAGACGTAACGTTCTGCACTTTGAAATGAACACCCCCCCCACCCCCACCCCTGCGGCAGCCTTGTTAGTTTGGGGACATTCTGCTTCTTCTTCTTGGGTTGCTGTGGGGGAGGGAGACGAGTGACGCAGCAGCACTGACCTCCACTAGCGTACTCCATTACCAGGTAGAGCGTCTTCTCAGTCTCAATCACCTCAAACAGCTGGACTGTAAGGGAGAATGAGGCGTCACCATGGAAACGGACACTCACAAGTCCATAAAAACATGGTTTGTGCTGTTGCTCACCTATGTTGGGATGGTTAAGTGTTTTCATGATGCGTACCTCTCGAAACAGCTGAAAAGAAAGGAGGGAAATGACACAAGATAATGACGACTGTGTAAACTAATGAGTGGCTTTCAGTACTAAAGATGCAGATTCAACCCAAAAGAGGCAAAATAACGCAGAAGTAAAAACGTGACGTGATGCTGGATTAGCTTCTTCAGGTAGGAAACATCTGACTTCCAGTGATATAAGCTATAAAGTAGAGACAGACTGTGCCTGGTAACCTGAGAATTTCTATATGAAAGATATAAATGTTAAAATTATTATTAGGGTTATATTCAGCTTTCCACATAAAATAACTAAATAGATGATGAAACAGCAACAGGGCAGATTCAGGGCTGGTGAATGGCATCCAGTAATTCCCATCCAAGGCCAAAGTGTAGAAGCGTACTCACTAGAATCACTGTCCTGTTGAATCTGATCAGACGTAAACTCACATGGATCATGAGGAGCAAAGGCCCAGGTCAGACATCGTGACTCAGACCTGAGCTTCACTGGCCACATTCAGGCTACAACTAGATCAGCGTTTCATCATCTTCATCAGACAGCACGACTCAGAGTCTCATGTCAAAGTCTCAAAGTCATCATCACACACCGGTGAAGTTCATCTTTGCATCTGGCCCATCCCCGTGGAGGGGAGCGGTGGCTGCGCTGGGCAACTATTTGGTGGTTTGACCCCCCAATCCAAACCCTTAAAGCTGAGTCATGCAGGGAGGCGCTGGGTCCCGTTTTCAATGACCAGACCAGACCTAGAGAAACCCATTCATGTGTTCATCTACAGCAGGCTGGACTACTGCAATGGTCTCCTAACTGGTCTTCCCAAAAAGCTGTGAAGCAACTGCAGCTTGTTCAGAACGCTGCTGCTAGAGTCTTAACAAGAACCAGGAGAACCGAACACATCACTCCTGTTCTTGGATCTCTACACTGGTTACCAGTAAACTACACAATCCATTTCAAAGTACTTCTACTAGTTTATAAATCACTCAACAGCATGGGGTCAGAGTACACGTTAGAGCTCCTTCAGGTATCTACGCCCAGCAGGGCTCTGAAATGCTTAGGAAGCAGTCAGCTGGTAGAACCGGGTCAGAACCAAGCAGGTGAAGCTGCTTTTAGCTACTATGCTGCTCACAGAAGGAATCAGCTTCCTCATGACCTCAGATGTGCCCCAGCTCTAGAAACGTTTAAATGAGAACAGAAAACTTCACGTTTTCATCAGCTTTTGGATGAATGTTCTTATGCTGCTCCTTCTGCGTTGTAACTGCTCACCCTTTAACTTATCTGACTCTTTCATTTGATTCTTTAATCTGAGTCTTTTATCTGATTCTTTCATCAGATTCTTTAATCTGAGCCTTTAATCTGAGTCTTTTATCTGAGTCTTTTATCTGATTCTTTCATCCAAGTCTTTTATCTGAGCCTTTAATCTGAGTCTTTTATCTGATTCTTTCATCTGAGTCTTTTATCTGATTCTGTCATCCGAGTCATTTATCTGATTCTTTCATTTGATTCTTTAATCTGAGCCTTTTATCTGAGTCTTTTATCTGAGCCTTTAATCTGAGTCTTTTATCTGAGTCTTTTATCTGATTCTTTCATCTGAGTCTTTTATCTGAGCCTTTAATCTGAGTCTTTTATCTGAGTCTTTAATCTGAGTCTTTAATCTGAGTCTTTAATCTGATTCTTTTATCCGATTCTTTTATCTGATTCGTTAATCTGAGTCTTAAATCTGATCCTTTAATGTGATTCTTTAATGTGATTCTTTAATCTGATTCTTTCATCTGAGTCTTTTATCTGATTCTTTCATCCGAGCCTTTAATCTGAGTCTTTTATCTAAGTCTTTTATCTGAGTCTTTTATCTAAGTCTTTTATCTGAGTCTTTAATCTGAGTCTTTAATCTGAGTCTTTAATCTGAGTCTTTAATCTGAGTCTTTTATCAAATTCTTCTATCTGATTCTTTTATTTGATTCTGTAATCTGAGTCTTTAATCTGATTCTTTAATCTGATTCTTTTATCCGATTC